CTAGATACCTCTTCTGGCACCGATCCCGTCTCGCATCCAACACCAACGCCCATCTGTCCAAGTCCTGCTCCCCCCACTCGGGAATGAACTTCGCCAAGGTCGCGGCCTGACCCTTACTGAGCCCCGGCCCGCCCGCGCTGCCATGGTAGGACCCGTCCGTCGGACCGACGGTGCGCGGTAGCCTCGCCTCACATTTTCTCTTCCTTCCTGCCTCCTACCTGTCCCATAGCCCGCCATCCCTGGCGGAGCTGCGATCTGCGACATTGTCGCCACTTTCAAGGGCTGCTGGAGGGTCCAGCGCAGTGCGGGCCTACGGTGATTCAGATTCGACCTCGCCATCCCTGGGAGGGGGGGTTGCGAACTGTGAGACTGTCGCCAAGTTCCATTGCTGCTGGGGGGCTTAGTACAGTGCGAGCCGATTGGGATTCCGATTAGACCTCGCCAGCCCTGGGGGCGGCTGTGATCTGCAAAACCGGTCGCCACTTTCGAGGGCTGCTGGGGGGTCCAGCAAAGTGCGGGCCTACGGGGATTCAGGTCAAACTTCGCCATCCCTGGGTGGGCTGCGATCTTCGAAACGGACGTCCCTTTCGAGGGCTGCTGGGGGGCCCAGCACAGAGCTGGCCGACGTGGACTCAGATTAAACCTCGCCACCCCTGCCTCTGTGGCTGCGATCTGCGAAGCAGTCGCCACTTTCGTGGAGGGCTGCTGAGGGGTCCAGCGCAGTGACATCACACCCAGACTCAGTTCAGACAGCGCCGTCCCTGGTGGGCTGCGAACTGCAAACAGGTCGCCACTCGAGGGCTGCTGGGGGCCTTGCGCGGAGTCGCGCGAGCCTCTCAGCTAGCTTTCACGACGCATGGCTGTTCTTGCCATGCTATCAACCCCAACTACTCCTTCAACTGTTCTAACCACTCGCTGCGCAAGGGATGGGTACGCCGCCAGGGTCATATGTCACCGCGCCCGGTTATCTCATGATGTCGCATGGCGGGGATGCGTGATTGTAGGATGCAATGGAGTGGCGCCACGGCGCTCGTTTCGCCCGTCCCCGCAGAGGGTCAGTGGCTGTGTCTGTCTGTCTGGTCAATGATTGTGGCCTGGATTCGACTCCAGGGATGCGCCATAGCCTGGCCAATGCAAAATGATCGTCGCCATCGACTCCTTTCAGCATCCCCCAAGCCTCCGAAGTAATTTTTGGGCACGGCTTCGACCACAACAGTGCAGACGAAGATGCCGCCGACGGCGATGGCAACGCCGACGACGACACCAACGACACCGACCGCGACGCCAACGGCGCCGACCATGACGACCATGGCGCCAGCGGCGCTGACGACGGATTCGACGACGGCGCCGACCGCCACGCCAACGCCGCCGACAACGAAGCCGACGTTGCCGCGCCGGGGGCAGCAGGTGCTATTTCTGGGCCGGCTCCCTGCGAAGATGACCCCTCGGGCGGAGGGCGGCGGGCGCAAAAGTGAGACGTCAACGTTCTAGGACTTCGGGTTCTGATTGGGAGCAGGAAGCGCATCACCACCACCACCACCACCACGACCATCTTCGGGGGGGATTCAGGATGAGCTGATATGCGGGATGCAGGTGTGCATGATGTCCCGCGGGAGCGCCGAAACGATAAGCACGACCACCACCACCACCCCTGACCACCATCTGCCTCCATCCTCCTGGGGGTTGTGGTGATGGTGGTGGTGCGTTTCCGTTTCCCTCCTCTGGAATCCTTGGATCGGCATTTTCATAGCCGATTCCGAGAACTTCTCGGAAGCGGCCGTGTCGCGCCGCCGCCGCCGTCCCGAGGAGGGTGTCCAGGCCTTGTGCTGGCGAGCTGCTGCCTTCCATTTGGCCTCCGGAGGCCCCTCTCAGGCAGGCCCGGGGCAGAGAGAGGACAGTCGCTCCCGGAGCGTGCTGGAACGCTTGCGGAGAGGTCCGGGAGGCGAGACGGAGGGTGCTTCGGTCCACCATACTTGGGTGCCTTTTCACGTCAGGAGCGGCCGCGGCTGCGGGCAAGGTTTTTATCCATATCCGCTGCGTCTTGGAGTTTCGGGCTCCCTTCCTCCGATGCCAGAGGCGCCCTGGTTATGGATAGAACAGGTCCGCCCCTAAAGCTCCCGATGTGTATCCATCCCCACCGCGCCGCGGCCTGTTGGCGCCCCTTCCCAGAAAGTCCCCAGGGCGCAGTGAGTGGATATGGATGTGAGTCGTGCCCGCAGCGGCGCCCGACACGCGCCATGGGGGAAGCGGGTCCTGAGGGGAGCGGGTCCTCCGCGGACCTCCGCGGATCTCAGGACTGTCAGAGAGCGGCTCAGGATGAGAAGGTCTCGTCCTGGGGGCAGGCCCCGGGGCCCAGGGTCCGTTTCCCTTCGGGGCCCGCTTCCCCCTTGTTGAGACGCATCCTTTGGACCCGCCGGCTTTTTGAGATTTCCGATTCATCCTGATCCGTCGTCCTGAGTACAGCTGGCACGAGGGCCAAGAACGACCCGAGCTATGGATA